AGGAGAAGAGATGAGTTTGGAAAGGGACTGGAATACTGTGAGGGTCTCAGAATAGCGGAGATCTTTGCATCGATATGTTCAAAACGTTTTTTTTCCAAATGTAAAGAATTTTTCTAAAATTGTAAATAGTGAAAAATTAAATATAAAATATTTCTAGAGTTAACCAAAATATAATACTAAATATTATACAAGTGATTTTTCTTAAATAAAATGACAAAAATGGCATAAAAACACATTATTCTAATACGGGTCCTTTTTGACCCACTTATGGAAGGGTTAAGGAAAATACAATACTACACAAAGGAAGATGACCATCAGCTGTTACACGGTTCTATGTAAGCATGTGCATGAGTGTACCTATGGCTGATGGGATGTTGAGGCTGCGGAGGTTGGCTGCTGACCGGTTGTTGATCTCACACTCGGTGTTGAGTCTGCCATCACGGTTGTTAGTGGCGCTGCCCCTCACAGCGCGCCTGTTGGTCAGGCTGTTCAAGTCTGTCCAGTTCCCGCTGCGCTGTGGGTTCCTACAGACAGAAAGGGCAGGGACTGTTATTTAGACATCAAAAGGCCAGAAGGAGAATTCAACACACTGTAACTTGAGCACAACAACAAAAACAACACAACAATCTCCTCCAATTGGAAGGGTTTCAGTATAATAGAGAGGCGAAGTCCCTGCCCTTCCGGGGACCTCCATTATTTTCAGAAAAAGTATGTATTGAAGTCAATGGGGAGAGAAAACGTATCTTTCGATCCCGTTTGAATTGTGCCACGGATTACACACATATGATGTTTGTCAATCTTAAAAAAGAATGTCCATGTCAAAAAAGTCACAGTTTGTCTTAAAACTGTTGAAATATAAGACTATGAAAAATACGCAACTAGAAAGACTACAAATCCCAGAATCCCGGTCCTGCATGCTGGCTTTTACGAACCGACTAACTCCCCTTGTGTGTATGTACAGCTCTCAACATGCCCAGACTTGGAGTGATTTTCACCTCGTTTAATACTTTTCGCCTCATTCTGAAAGAAAGAGGTGAAGTGTGCTAACTTGATGGCCCTCTTGGTGTGTGGTGCGAGACGGGAGATGTAGTTCATTGAGCGGTTTCACACAGAAAAAAGTGTTACTTCACAGTTTTACGACACATTTTAATTTTTTTCACTTGCAAAATTATCTTTTAAATTGACAAACATCATATGTGTAATTCGTGGCACAATTCAAACGGGATCGAAAGATGCAATACATACTTTTCCCGAAATAAGGTCCCATGGAGGTCCCTCGGAAAGGGAGGGACTTCGCCTCTGTGCAACAATTTTGCAACATATTATACAATGACTTTCTTATCACATATCATCTTACGAATGTTTTATGACCTACAATACCATGACTCTTCAGTTAACCTGAAGTATACTTGTGGAAACAAAACACACCTGATGTTGGTTACAGGCTGGCGGTTCTCCTGCTCAGAGTCAAAAAGGGCATCAAACATTGAACTGTCCTCTGTCTCATCTTCCTCCTCCTCTTCCTCATCATCATCCTCTTTCACATTCTCATTGACCGCGTCCACCATCATATCAGAAGTCTGCTCGTAGTACTGAACCAGTTCCCGCAGTTCATTCAAACGTTTGTGGACCTCCTTTAGCTTCCTGTGTAAGGAAAAGAACAACAAAAGTTTAGATGAAATGTGAATGTGTACCAGGCTAAATAATAATAAAGGTTACGTCACACAATTGCACAATGTCTTCACAATTGCCCTTCTCCAAAAATGAATTGTGTTGAGTCACCTACAGAAAAGCACCTCCAGAAAAGCATGGGTGCTAAGCGACGTGATCAAGAAGACTTTAGCAAAAAGGCTAAAACTTGTTGGCTTGCCTGCAAGGTTTCACTACACTCTGTACAACTCCCTGCTGCTGATATCTGAGCTGCCTATTCAGCTGCGTGTGTTTTCGTGTTTACCTGAGCTTGTCTGTGGAATTGGAGCTGTTCTGGTGTTGTGTGAGTGAAGGATGAAAGGGAGTGGAAGCTGAGGCCCCATTAGAGCAGAGAGCAGATGGACAGTCTGATGACGCTCCCATACTCAGACTGCACTGTGTTGACAGGCCACGACCTGAAAAGAATCACTTACAGTTTATCTACACTTTATAGGTAGAAAAGCCACATATTACTGCAAAACATGCCTTTGAAAATACTCTTACATGAGTTGTTGTTTAGTGTCTGGTCTCTGAGTGAATGCAGCTCCTGTAGGATCTTGTCCATGGTTTGCTTTTTGTCTTGGAGTTCTTGGAGCTTAGTGAGTTTGGCACTGGCAGCTGTTGCCCCCATGTCTAGGCCAGTGTGGGGGCCAGAGGCCGAGTGGAGGAGAGGCCTGTGCTGAGGAGGACCAACAGCCTGGGGAGCCCGAGACCAGCACACCTCTCTGGAGAGGGACAGGCTCTCTGCCTGCCGACGGTTGTCTGGCACTGTTTTAGTCTACAAGACATAAATAATCAAATACGTGAGCTAAACATTTGTTATTTAACAGTTAATAGATATTTGCCCATGTTGACATGGCTTGTCTAGTCAGAGGTAGACTAAGGGTGAACAAGCCATAATTACATATGAGACGTGATGCAAAGTAAATAGCTTAACATAGTGACATAATGCGGCATTTAGTCAGAAGACAGTTCGGAGCAGGAAGGAGGAAATATTTGCTTTTATTTAAGGAGGCAATGGCAGCCCAAATGCATATTCTACTACTGTACCTGAGAATCATGCAGCTGGTTGTGGAACCGCTGGATCAAATCGTTCAACTCGTCATTCAGTTCTGATGTGATGCTCAGGCCAGAAACACTGCCTGTCGTTTCTGTGACAACTGATGACAACAACAAATGTCAAATGTATTAAACCAGGTGAATGTTTGTTTAATTTATGTTCAGCATCAAATATGACATTAAGTGGATACATTTCTTGACATATTTACCAGAATATACTAAAACACAAATATACCTTCTATTAATACAATCATTTTGTGTAATAACTGTTTCTTAAAAAGGATATCAACTGAGTTCTCATTGATGTATTTCAGATTTGGAAGAAAAGTGATCTATACTTCTGTCTGCGATTGTGAATAGGCCTGTGACTGTGTATCTCACCAGTGTCTTCAATCACAGCCAGTGCCTGCTCTGCACTGTCCTGCATGGCCATTAGTGCTTCCTGTCGGCCCTGCAGGGCCCTGAGCTGCTCCTGCTGCTCCAGCATCTTCTTCAACAGCTCGTGCTGCTTACGCAGATTCTCCAACTCTTCCTTCTGGTCAGCTCGCACCATTTCTGTCCGTCCGCCCTACAATAGTTCCATCCAGATAGCATTACAAACACTGCACAAAACAAAACACTGCTGGGATGCTACTCAGCAGAAAAAGGTAACAGAGGCTCATCAGGTACTGACACAGCAAATAAATCTAACTCACAACGAGAAAAGCAAATCAAAGACAAATTGCTTTCTTTACATAAATTGCAATTACCTTTTAATTATAAAGGTTTAAGGCAAAGGTACACACCGTTCCATTCGAAGCATCTGAGGATCGGACTTCAATGTTAAGAGAAGTGCTCTCAGCAAGTGAACCTGAGCCCACTGCGGAGTCCAGGGTCCCCACCTCATCCTCATCATTCTCCCGTGTCTACAGACGTATTGGAAAAAGCAGCAAGAGACTTAATGATAACTGAAAAGGAAAGTATGCAGTACACCCTTTTTCCAACAATTGTTTGACATTTCTTATCAACCTAAAAGCTGTACATTATTCAAAACTTAATAAGCTCCTCTAAATGTTCTATATATGAGAATGTTTATTTATAGATATGGTGAGAAAAACACTTGTAGTTATTTAGATTTCCCTTTTGCAAAACAGAAAATTAAGTGCCTGCAAATACTACAATATATTTCACAGAAACGCTCCATTGAAGGCAAAGTGATACCAAACCATTAAGAAAGCCAACCTGCTGCAATGGAAGGTAGCAGGCTACTGAATGTCCTAATTGTATCATCACATGAAACATGAACATAATTAAAAATAAATGTGTGCCAAGCTGCCAAGATAGAAACGAAAACCAGTTCCATTACAACCATAAATAAGCAAACAAACAAGCTTCACACACAAACAAATGTATACCTTTGTCTACGAGCATTAGAAATGCCAAGAACTAGATTCATTCTGAAAAAGATTTTTTCAAAATAAAAAAAATGACAGACTTACCAGCATTTTCTGCAGAAACCGTAAATATGACTTTTCCTGCTCCTTGAGGTGGTCGATGAGATGGGAGAGACGCTCCACATTGGCCGGCACATCGTTCTTCTCCACCAGGTCGTCCCGCATGGAGCTGGCCTTACTGATGTACTCCCGGATCTGTACCAGTTTGCTCACCACCTGAGACCAAGCAGAGAGAGAGAGGAGGGTGGTGTATGGGTGTGGGTTTCAAAAAGTAATTGAAAAGGAAACATAGGAATACGTAAGGAAAGGCGACAGCATCTGTAGCGACAGCTCAGACTAGGCTTAATAAGGGCAGAAAGGGGTGGGGCACAAAACTCACTAGGCGCCAGGGGTAGCATATTTATAAATTGCCCTAAATACAGCCTAGTTTCAGCTGCACTAGATCTCCCTCACTTTCATCCTAGTTTTGGTTTCACACAGTAGCTAGAAGCGAAGAGATACCGAGACACTTCCACATTTACATGTGAAAAGTGCTTGATTTCGTTTAAATGTGAAAATAATGTCTTTCTAAGGAGGATTAGTAGTCTTAAACCTGATATATCTGGCCACCTGGGGGCAGCAGTAGTTGTCAACACTGACTTGAAATAACATATTATGTTGATTAATGCAAACGTGTTAGCATACTGATTCACACAGCCAGCAATTAGGAGCAATGTCGTGTTTCATTTTGAGTTGTTTTACAGTAAGAATGTAATCAAGCTCTTTGAGCTCTGTTTCTGTTCTCTACCAACGACTGAGGAATATATATGGCCCTTTACTGATAAATACTTATCCTCTTAATTTATATCTAGCACCACCAAACGGTTAACACTTGTGTTTCATAGTGAAATATCTTAACACTTATTGAATGACTTGCTATAACCAGCTATAACTGTGACTTTCCCCTTAAACACCACCAGTATGTCTCACTTATACACATATACACTTATTAAGTAAATGCTTTAGCTCAGCATCGACTTAATCTACTGGACCATATCGTAACCAGAATTGACAAACTCCTCATAGTCTGGCTCAATCCTCAGTATACATGGCATCAAGTTGCAGATCAACAAGAGTAAGAGCTGACAAAACCATGGCAACAACCAAACACAATGTTACCTGGCTGCTGTCTATTCTGGGCTCTCCTCTCCCATACTCTCTGTGCGCTAAGGGCCCCCTCTCTGTACTGCCACGGGTGAGCCTTTGAGCTTCCTTGCTGGGAACCAAAGGGGTTAAAGTATCCCTGAGTCCTGGGCCCTGCTTCTTGGTTTCCTTGGTGATAGCTGGTGTGGCTGGGGCAGACGAGGAGGGATGGAGCAGCTCCTTGCTTTTGTTAGTGTTCACATGAAGAGGTAGGAAGTTGTAGGGCTTCTTGTTCTCTCCAGCCAGCTGCCTCTGGTTGTTGGCAGCTGTGGCACGCCCCTGGGAGTCACTGCCAATGCTCCTCTGAGTAACAAAAGAAGATCAAATTCAGACAATTTACTACTCAAGCATTTGGGTATTTTTTCCATGAAGATCTCCTCTTTTTATTGTTAATAAATCGTTAGAAATGTTTCATAATCATTTTTGTTTTCAGAACACAACTATTTTAAACTTTGTTCACCATGAAATGGCCTTATGGATTTTACATGTTTTTCTGTTCTGCCATTCTGCCAACTTCAAATCCACAGCAGAACAAGTTTAGCCAACCAAACCTAGGCTAGAGTTTAAATATATATATTTTGCTTTTCTTTACTGCCAGCCGATTCCTCATGGCAATGCTTTGGCATTTTATCACTGAAGGAAGTATGCATTTTTTTGTTGAAGAGTCTGATAAGCATTAGGAATTGTATTCCATGTCCTTGAAAATATAATAAAAGTGAATCTTGAAATGGTAAGCTTTGTATAATCATCAGTGTTTGTGCCTCTCATGCCTCTTCGTGCTTATGTTTGCCTGAGACATATGTAAAACCAGAAACGATTTATAATAAAGTGCCGCCGTTTTTCACCTCATCCAGGTCTGTAAAATTGATTCTCTGACGCAGCTTGTCCAGCTCAGCCTGGTCTGGGACAGACATCTGGGTGGAGTATTTGATGTGGGGAAAGGAATGAGGGGTGCGGGATCTCCTGCGACCGGCCCCAGGGGTGGATTCTGGTGAAATGTCATTAGTCAGGCGGCTCTCCACCACCGTAGCTGACAGCTTCTTCTTGTTTTTCTCTGAGGATCGGTTTGCTTTCTTCTGCTGAACACCCCAGTCCTGATGAACAGCAAAAAAAATTGCACTATTTATTATAAATGTTTACTTTAATAGGGACATATTATTATCTTGTGTAACACACATATCATACATACGATTACATTAATAAGCCATGATAGGAACAAGATAGAGCAACATTGATTTTAGGTTCTGTCTTACCAGGTTGTTGAGTCTATCTTCCAGACTGCCATTGGTTATAGTCCAGTCGTGCAGCTCTTCTGCACTGTCATCAAAAGGAGTGCCTCCTGTTGCCATGTCACCCACTTAAAGCTTGCTGGAATCCACACCAAAGTGTATATTGGTCACCACAAAGAACAAAAGGCGAGGTATACAAGTCTACATTAAAAACAGAGCAGGAGAAAGATATGTCACCGTCATGGAAAAGGCTTGCTGGAATTCACAACTAAAGAGATACTGATCACTGCATGGGACCACAGAATAAGAACAACAACCAAGTTACATACGTTTAACCTACATTAAAGAACAAACAAGAAAAGGCATTTAGGGAACTATGGGAGTGTCAAACCATCTTAACTTATGATTAGCCAACTGACGACTGGTTTTGGTTCATATCGATCACTCTTAACTTAAAGTTGGTGCCTAAAAACAACAGAACATTTTACATTTCACTGTAATTAAAATGTTGTAATGGCAACAATAACACTAGTAGGCTATTAGTGACTACAAATGAATGTTACTCACCATACGTAAGAAGATGGTTTGGCGGTTAACGCTTAAGTTAATATCGCAGAAAGGTTTAACTAAACTGTTAACGTTAAATTAAAGCATCACATGCGTCATGTCTTTCCAACAGCCTTTACTTTGGCTAATGTTTACTCTTAAATCATGACCAGCTTGAAAACCTCAATACTTTGACGCACTAATGTAGCTATCGCCATATAGCTAACTAACTGTTTGACCGTTGCCGTTAGCAGCCGTTGGTGGGTTTTGTATGTGGCCCGCTCCAATTCCCGGGGAAAAACAATAAGCAGCACGAGCTCTCTGTCACTGCTCCCCACAGTGACACCAGCTAATGTTAGCTTACAGAAAGTGTATCACTCACCATTCAAGCACTTGCAGTTAACCTAGCTTAACCAAACGTTAAGAGTGTAGGAGTGTACGTAGCCTGTTATCTTGAGAGAAACTTTACTAGCTTAACATATGTGATCTACTTCTGTCTCACAATCGCCATGGCAACACGCCATAACCCCGATGTGCAGCAGCTAACCCGCTGCTTAACGTTGCGTCGAATCTTTAACACCACAACACGTTATATGTGTCGGCAAAACAATCACAAGACCTTATGCTAACGAGCAGCGAAAGTTGCCAAGCTTGCTGAGGTACCTCGCTAATGCTAGCTAGCATCACTGCAGAACTGAGCTAACTTTAAATGTCTCGATAAAAGTTTAAGCAAACAAGCATCTTAGCTCGCGTAGCAGAGCTAGACTTCGAGCTGATAATTATGTTATCGCTCCAAACTAGATGTTTGCAAACTGTCAACACTAAATGACACTAACATTAGCTAACGACAAACGCAGCAGGTTACAATACTGGCATTTTAGTCATGTTATTTAAAACTGCGCTTGCTAAGTTAGCTTACAGTGTAGGATAAGGAATGTCACCATTACCATGCAGAGAAAGAGAAGAAGATGTCGGTGCCAAGCACTTCATATATTACAGTAACGGTTTTACAGATGCTCTCTCATTGTTGTTAAAGACAACTGATAAATAACAACGTCTTATCGGTCCCAAAACGCAGCAACATCAACTCATGGATGTGATCCTGGCCTGATATAAACACTCCCATACAGCAGGTGGCGGTATACATTCGTTTGTAGCTAGCCTTCCACCACAGGAAGTGCCGGAAACAGAAACACTGTCGGTGTTTGTTTGACGATGTATAAAGTTGTATGCCTGTCCGTGGTGTGGAGTGGTTAACCTGGTGTGAAGAAGACGACACAGCTGGCTGGGTATTTTTTCCACATTCCTACTCTTTGTTGGTTGATATCGAATTTTGAACATGAGGTTTTATTTTTTCACCCGTACTGAGTGAGTTGTGTCGTCGGTTAGCCACTTAGCATTCAAAGCTAATGTGAGCTTGTAATCGAAGGAGCAACATCTAACACGTTTTTTTTCTCCACAACAGCTTCGTTTTTAACAACTGCTGTAATCTTCGAAGGAAATAATGGGGTCATCCAAGAAACACAAGGAGAAGAGCCGCGACAAGGATACAGAAGAACGCCGTCGTGAACATAAGAAACATCGTCATAAGGACCGAGACGCTACAGAACGAGATGGGACAAGGGATAAAGATAAACGAAAACGCTCCAGGTCCCGGGAAAGAAGCGGGCGAGAGGGCCGTAGCAAAGGCGAGAGGAGCACCGGGGAGCCACGGGTGAAGAAGGAGAAAGTTGATCTTGGGTATGAAGGAAGCAAGGCAGAAATTGCACCTCAGTCTGCAAGCGGAGATGCGTCTCTCAGCATCGAGGAGACAAACAAACTCCGAGCCAAGCTGGGGTTGAAGCCTCTGGAATTAGAGGTAGAAAAGAAGGAGCTCGGCACCAAAGAAGATCCAAAGGTGGCAGAGACCATCAACCCTGTTCTCATCAAGAAGCAGAAAGATATGAGAGAGAAGCTTGCTGCTATGAAAGAAAAACGCATCCAGAATCTAAAACTGGGAAAAGTCAAGACCATAGCAGAGGAGGACTGGCTGGATGACACCACTGCCTGGGTAGAGAGAAGCCGACTGATGGCAAAAGAGAAAGAAATGGCAGAGAAAAGAGCCAAAGTTCTGCAAGAGATGGATGAGGAGTTTGGTGTCAGCAGTCTGGTGGAGGAGGAGTTTGCACATCGCAAAAAAGACGCCTACACAGCTAAAGATCTAAAGGGACTCAAAGTGCAGCACAAGGTGGATTCCTTCAATGAGGGCCAGACTATCATCCTGACTCTACAAGACAAAGGTGTGCTTGTAGAGGAGGAAGATGTGCTTGTAAATGTTAATCTTATCGACAGGGAAAGAGCAGAGAAGAATGTGGAGTTAAAAAAGAAGAAGCCTGAATACAAGCCCTATGCAGAAGATGAGAGTGTGGATGACATGGTCGCGTTTAAGCCCAAAACGGTACTGTCAAAGTATGATGAGGAAATTGAGGGTGAAAAGAAAAAGAGTTTCCGGCTGAATACAGGAGGCTTTGCTGACGGGGAGCGAGAGCGGGAGATTCAGGCCATGAGAGAAGCTCTACGAGACCAGGCCCAGTCTTTGGAGATGCCTGCTCTCTCTATTGCCTCGGAGTATTACACACTTCAGGAAATGACGGGCTTTAAAAAGACAAAAAAGCGTGTGCGAAAGATCAGGAAGAAGGACAAGCTGACAGTTGCAGATGAGCTTGCTGTCGACACCCGCAACACTGACTTTGGCTCCAGGGCCCGTGGTCGCGGCCGCAGACAGCTGGAAGAAGGGAGTGAGGAAGTAAAGCCGGTGGAGATGGTCCAACTGTCCCAAGATATCCCCCTGTTGTCTGATGACGTTAGAATGGCTGAAATGGACATTAGTGATGATGATGACTTCACACCTCCAGAGCCTGCTGTAATTGAAGAGGATGAGGCCGAGCAGGAGCTGCAGAAACAACTGGAGAAAGGGAGGAAGCTGAGGCAAAAGCAGCTTCTCAAAGACTCTGGGGAGAAGGTGGCTGAGAAGATTAAAGAGCTTGATAAAGCCAGTCCTGATGACGATCCTGAGATGAAGAATAACATTGTTTTCAACGACATCTCAGAGTTTTGCAGAACACTGGGTGATATTCCAACCTATGGGCTCTCGGGCAATAGAGAAGACCAAGAGGAAATTATTGACTTTGAGGAGAAGGAAGAGAAAGATGACGCTGGAGATCCAGACTCGGACATGGATGAGAATATTGGATGGAGCACAGTCAATTTGGATGAGGAGCAGAAAGCGCCGGACTTCTCCACTGCCTCTGCCACCATTTTGGACGAGGAGCCCATTGTCAGCTCGGGGCTTGCTGCTGCGTTGCACCTGTGCAAAAACAAAGGTCTATTGGACACTGAGATGCAGAAGATGTCCCGTGTCAGAGCCACTAAAGGCGCCTTGCCAAATGACAACTACTGCATTGAGGACAAGGTGGGCTTTGATGACAAATACAGTCGCAGAGAAGAATACAGAGGCTTCACTCAAGATTTCAAGGATAAAGACGCCTATCAGCCAGAGGTCAAGATTGAGTATGTGGATGAATCTGGGCGGAGACTCACTCCAAAAGAAGCTTTCAGGCAGCTTTCACATCGATTCCACGGGAAAGGGTCCGGAAAAATGAAGACCGAGAGGAGGATGAAAAAGCTGGAGGAAGAAGCCCTGCTGAAGAAGATGAGCAGCAGTGACACTCCTCTGGGGACGGTGGCGTTGCTTCAGGAGAAGCAGAAATCTCAGAAAACCCCTTACCTTGTGCTTAGTGGGAGTGGGAAAAGTATGAATGCAAATAACATCACCAAATGAGTCTGGGGGAAGAGTGAATTATGTTAAGCGCAAACACATACACATAAGATGTTTTAAGTAAAGTAACTGCTCCTACTTCATACAATCTGTAGTGTTGTAGTAAAGATTTGTCTAATAAAACTAAGGCAAATTAGATCGATGTTTTATTGTTTTCTTTGTTGCTTACTTGCGAGGGTAAAGAGTAACTCAAAGAAATTATGTTGTGATGAGAACCTACTTTTTTTTTATGTAACACTTTTAAATGCTTTTGTTTCGGTTAATGACAGCTTTTGCATATTTTGTGGAATGAGTATTATAACGGGTTCACTAGTACTAGAACAAGGCAAGATATGTTTATCAAAAGGTTTAAAATGCATTTTGGTTCTTTTTATTGATAGCAAAAGTAGATGGCAAATTCAATTCTGTTTTTAATAAAATGTGAACGAAATAACGTTTTTTTTTTTAATTGCACGTTGTGAATAGTTTTAAAACTGAATATTAACATCTCTCCTGTCCTATTAATAGTATTGCATCAATGCACCATTGATATGGTTTTGCATTTACATTCAATAATATAATAGTTGGCCTTTTTGATTTGCGAATTAGAGAATAACCGCACAATATGAATATGTATTCTACACCATTCTACTCTTGACTGTGTCAAATGGGGTGAGTACAACGGGAAGCCTTGCAAAGGCAGAAGACAGTGTTGTTCGTTGATAAAATTCAACTCTTGTTCACCATTTCAGGAATAGTTTATAGTCAATAAAAATGAAATGGTAATTTAAGACAGGTGTTAAAAAACAAGTTAACATTTTTATTATACCTTTTTAACTCAGAGGAAAAAATTAATCAACAGAAGTAGTGGAAGAGGTATGCACTTTATTTATTCATTTAGGCAAAAGTACTAATACCTCGCTAAAAATACTCGTATACATGTCCAAGTCCTGCATTTTTAAAGACCTTTCTTATGTTAAAGTATGTAAGTACTAACTGGGACACTGAATAACTTTATAACTGGAGTAAATACATTGGTATTGTGAGAAAGTTGATGAAAAGCACACTTTCACAGTATGGGTAGCTTCTAACTGATGATTGTGAACACTTTGTGAAGTACGTATAGGAGAGAAAGACATCATGGAAGAAGTACAATATTTGGGTAAAGCAGCGGCAGAAGTGGAATATTACTACAAGTACATTGTCTTATATTCTATTGCAGGGCCTTTAGTTATAACATACTATTTTAGACTGGTATTGCTTGATATATGAAGACTTCTTCAGCCACTGAGCAGAGGTTCAGATAATGGAGTCTAGAAGGTTGAAAAGTAAGAAGATGCTTGGTCAGCCTCCAAATAAGAACAGCATGATAAAATATCTGAGAAACTGGACTCTGTAGGAGGTATCTGACACCAGAAGAGGGCAGTAGTGCAACATTCAGGATGCAAGCTGCCATTAAATCGAAAGAAGAGGAAGGTGAATAACCTGTAGCAAAGTAGCTGCTCTCCTTAATACATCCATGAAAGTAGTTAGCAAAGCTAACACAGGCGAGCTAACATCGCTTCATCCAACACGACATGCAGGCCGTTAACAGCTGAAGTCTCGCACGGTAAGAGTGAGCGTCATGTAATAATATGTCTTAATGTCACGTAGACACAGGACGAGGGGATGAGGGGATTGATCGTTAGCATCGTCTGTCAGGCTGTTTGACAGCTTCCTGTTGTGTAGCTAACAGCGAGCTTAGTGACGGACACTGTTTAAGTAGCTTTGGTGTTCGCAAATGACTTATAGTTCCTCGAAGTGCCTCACTGTCCCGGATGTGTTTATCTGTTAGTAATCCTTTAAATAACCGGAGTGTTAACACGACTGGTGTCGGCTGCTCTCAGTCTTTGAGAGATGTCAACGCAGTGCCATTACATGTTAGCTAAACAGAGTATTGGGAGTCATGTCAGCACTGAGGCGTTTGTGATGTGTTGTAATTTCCAGATTTCAGGTTTACGACAATAAGCGAACTATCGTAGCGTATTTATAGATTATTGGCTCAGTATGCTATTTCCGATTTATAAATTGGTGACTTCCATGGATTTACCTAACGTACATAGCTCTTGCAACATTGACAAAAACCAGAACCACCTTATTGGCCACGTATTGTGGACACATTCATGATATTTGATTCCGTTTTCGTTTTTTGTAACGCTCTTACTGTACGTGCAAAGAAATAGCCGTACGGTACAACGACAAGGCTGCATTATAAAGGTAAATCATAGCCTTCGAAAGTAACCTATGGAAAATAATAGGTGTATTTATAAATAAAATTAAGA